TGTTTGCAGCAGCAGGCTGTTCTGGAAAGGGCACACACAAGGAGCTATGAAAATAGATCGAAGAAGGGCCAAGCCGTCCCAGCTGATGTGTGAGGTATGTGCATTACTTTTGTTTCTTTTTGTATTTTCGTTATGGCCTCACAGGTACCAACTGCCTTGCCCCCTGGATCTTCCACTGCGGTCACCGAGCCCACCCTCAGCTCTGCCTCTGCCTCTGCTCTGCCTCAGCCTCCGCCCCCCCCCATCTCCGCTGAGGGCTGGGGGCTGTTGGAGGCGACTCAACGCCTGGCCGCCGGCTCCCCGCATCGCTGTGCCCTGCGGCCTGAGCAGGTTGTCGCCGCTATCTACTGGTGCTCTCTCCTCACCCCACACAGCCCAGTCCCACCCCTTCCTACCCCGCTTCAAGATCCCACCCCCGCTCTGCCCTCCCATTCTAGCCTCACGGCTTGACGCTAATTTACAGAGCAAGCAGAGAACATGCAGACGTGACCTCTGTCACCTTCTCTTCGCCTCTACGCCTGCCTTTCTAGGCCCATCGTGCCCTTCTTGCATCCAGAGTCACAAAAAGGGCATTGCGGTTCCCCTCCAAGACACACTCCAGCTTCATCCTGATTCCTGCCTCCTCCCCATCCGTGCCACAGAAACAAGCTTGTGTAAATGCCACACTAAGGATGTTGAGCCTTGCTGACGGGCTCCTTCGAGACACAACTCACCCGTGTGGCTGGCTACTTTGGTCAGCAAGGTGTTTGAAATTACTCAAGTTAATGTAAGTGCAGACACAAGTTATCTCATGAACGGTCAGCAACGTTCAGGCACGGAAACATGTGTATACTCGTGACGGGTCAATGGGTATTAATAATTACAATAGCAGTACTAATAGCAAGCATTTATATAGCACTTAAAGTGTGCCAGACCTGTTTAAACCACTTTACATATGTTAACTAATTTAATCTTCAAACAGCCTATGAGGTAAGTGGTAATAACTATCCTCATTCTACAGATAAAGGAACTGAAGTACAGAGAGATCAAGAGACCTGACCAAGGTCACACAGCTGGTAAGTACAGAGCTGAGGTTCAAACCCAAGCAGTCTGGCTCCATTATCTGGCGCTTAAGCACGACATCCCATCTACAGAGCTTATATGCAGGGCAGCCCAGGAGGTAATATAAAGCAGAATGAGGTTAGAAGACTGAGTAGACACAGGAGCTTTTAGAGCACCTAAAGCAATAGAGAGAGACTCTCTGAGACAGACCATCTCCACTGAGATAATTCTAACTTTCTTTCTTAATATTTGTCTGAAATCTGTCTCTTTATGGCCTGCCAATCGCCATGTTTTTTCCCTACACTACAAAAATAAAAGTAATACTTCAAATAATAGTCCTTTAAATCTCTTTGGGAAGTGATCACGTGTGATTTTTTTTTCTACCAAACCATCCCACCCCTTCTTCCCGACAACACACACACACACACACACAGACACACACACTTTTCTTGGCCAAGCTAAATACACTCAGTCCCATCAACAATCCTTCATACGGCCTGGTGTTAAATCTCATCCAGATCCTTGTCACTCTACTATCCAAATATGACCCACTGCGCTTACCTCTCCCTGAATGTGTAGCACAGTGGCTACACTACATTGCTGACTCATACGGAGTGAATCCTAACCATTTGTTTCAATATGCTGCTTCTAGCTGCATGGCTCGTCCTTCCTCTACTTAGGCAGCTGGTGTTCGGGGCCCCTGCACGCCCGCTGAGTCTCACACTACACTTGTGAGCCCCCACCTCACTTCGTCACGCCTACTTCCCCCAGCTCCTACCAGCTAGATCCCCTGATACCAGCAACACCACCGCCACCATCTTCAGACTAAATCAAATCCCACTTCCTCAGCCAGTCTTAACCAAGGCGATGTGCATCCACAACCTCAGCCCACCCTCTGAAACATTGAATTAAGTCACTTTTCTAGCCTTTACTGACAAATCAAGCTTGGGATCCATGTGGCTCCAGGGGTACCCGCCCCAGGACTCCTGCATTGCCCCTCAGCTCACTCTTCCCCTCTTCCACCCCTAAGACTGAATATGGATTTGATCCTTAAATCATCAGTTCAATGGCCACAGATTACTTCTTTACCCAAATCAGTGATTTAAAACAATGTCCTGTTGCAATAGAGAGAATAAAACAAAACTGTAAAATTAGCCATTTCCAGAAGCTATCATGCAGAAAACATTCTCTGGTCTATAGATAGCAGGATATAAGGATATATATATATATACACACACGCATACATACATATATACACACACACACACACGAGAATCTCACATTCTTGTAAAAAGTGTTACTAAACTTCCAAAAGCAACTTTCAATAGAATATTTAAGCCAATTAATACTAAGTATTTAGGAAGCACACAAACTGAGTTTTAAGTACTATAAATAACATAATCTCTCACCAAAAATAAGTATTCCAAGAATCACAGGCAAAGGATAAGGTGATGTAGCCCTGCCCTGATTTCAAAGTAACAAACCAAGACTGAGTTATCCAAGGAAACAGAGCAGGGTACTGACAATTTTGAAACAAGGACTTGGGTCTCCAGATTCCCAACCCACAAAGTATCTAGAAGCTTGTGAGGCATGATGGGCTTTGCAGAGATTGAAGGAGACACAGTCTCTTCCCTCAAAAGTACACACACAGTACACAATATGATACTGTGAAACACTAAGCAATTAAAACATAAAGACAATATAGATCAACACTCATGTGCCTTTATCAACCAGATACCAATTTCTGAAAGTGTTGACTATAAAACACAACACTGTGAAATTATCACTTATAGGAGAGATTCCAAACATTTTTCCCATGAATATTACTGGTTATTAAAAACTTATCATACTTTAATTATCAAAAGAAATGTTAATCATTAAAAGAAAAGTAAATAGGTACCAGAAAGGCACTGGAGCACAGATGCTGAAAGCTAGTCATTTGGATCCTCTCTTCCACTTACCAGCTATATAACCTGGAGGAAGCTACTCGGCCTATCTCCCGGCCTCCATTCCCTCACCAGTAAAATGAAGACAGTGGTGTTTACCTCTAAGAGAGGCTGTGAAGATTAGTTAATGAATTGTACTTGGAACAGTGCCTGGCATATAGCAGGTGCACAATAATTGCTCTTCTCTACTTATATGTTATTTCCACTTAGTCAACAACCAACTCTTGATATTTATCATGTCTCTTTAAGTCTAGCCAACCTTCAGACAACACTGGAATAAAATATAAGATTCCTACAGGACCCAGGTTTTGAGTTGAAAATTAAATAATGATAGAGATGTGGTGGAAAAGAACAGATACATGTTCAGGGCACATGATAAATGAGCAGAAATCAGGAAAGCTGAGTTATAGAGAACACCAGGCTTTGCCTGCCTTGGTCGGCAGGTGTGGGGTAAGAAGTAACAACAATTTTCAAAACCAGCCAAACCACAAACGTTTTATTTGCCACAGCAAGTCTGCAAAGCTCCACCACCAGCACACTGCTGGCCAAACGCCCCTTGCTCTGCCAGCCATTCCTACTTCTGCCCCGTCCCCACAGCTACAGACGCAAGGAGAAAAAAAAATCCCTCAGAAAATAAAAGAGGTCTCCCTGAAATATAATCCGCATTCAATTTCCCATAATGTAAATAGTGAGTTATAAAGAGAAGCGCAACGCATTTATTCCCTTCAGATCCGCTGCCTGGCTCCCAGGCCACCGGCTACCCTGCGGCTCCAGGCCAGGGCTGCTGTCGGTGGCTGGAAGCGGGAAGAGCAGCTCAGGGGACGTGGCCGTGCGGGGCGCAGAATCTCGGGCAGGACCGGCGCACACGCGTGGACAGCTCTGAGGAGATCAGAGTTTAACCCAAATCACTTACCTGGTGTCACTCCCACAGAGCAGCACGTAAAACAGAATAATGAGAGAAGAAAGTGACGAGGTTGTAAGTGGCAAGACAGGAGGTGGCAACGCCAAGAGAAGGGGGACATAGTCAGGACAAAAAATATTTTCAAAGAGCCATAAGGAACTATGGTAAGATATGGCAACAAATTAGACAGACTGATTAAAACTTAACGAGGCTCGAAGATCACCCAAGATAATAGGATTTCGTAGGAGACAGAAAGTAGGTACTGCTGGCGATTACGCCAAGACCAGCCCTGGGAGAGAGGATGTGGTAGAATCACAAGTTCAGCCTTGTCATGTTAACATCCTGTGAGTAGCTGGAAAAATCATAATATCATAGAGCATTTTTTAATAGGAGCTCACAATTTAGTTAAGAGCTTTCTCTCATCAGCAATATGTCTTTAAATGGCAAGTATTTAAAACATGAAATAGATTGAAGGATCTGGAATGGATTAAAAATAATGAGTAATGCCCTGGCCGATGCGCTCGGCTGAGTCGTCCCATGCACTCAGAGGTCCTGGGTTCGAGCCCCGGTCAGGGCATGTGCACGGGCTCCAGGTTCGATCCTCAGTAGGGGGTGGTGCGCAGGAGGCAGCAGATCAACACTTCTCTCTCCCTCTCCCTTCCTCTCTCTCTAAAATCAATAAAAACATATTTTAAAAAAGAAAAATAATAATGAGTAACAATATTTTATGAATTATGAACAAAAATATTTAAGTGGGGAATATTTAAGTGATAAGTTCAGTATGTAAAGATAAATTTACTACCAAATTTTCCACACAAAAAATAAAAAGGACATTATGTCACTGGAAGACAGAATATTAGGCATATGGATCATTATTCTGACTTCAGGTAGTATTTCACAGATTTATTTGTCACATAAATTAAGTATAATACGCCTTTAAGTTCTATAAACCATGTTATCAGCTTTCATTCTAATTCTTACTGACAAATTCCCATGTCAGTTCAATAGACAGATTTAACACAAAAATAGCCATAAAACAATCAAAGGAAACTGGAACCTTCTTAAATACAATCATTGGTCACAATTAAACTTTAAATAACAAAAAGACTTACCACATTTTCCTTCAGCTTTCTCAGCTTTTCATCTATCTCTCTCAGCCGATTTTGCTGATCCCGTTGCTCTTTGGTGTTCCGAAGTGCCTTTTCCCCTGGAGTTATTTCCATATTTCTATCATCATCATTAAGGTCATGTTCCTAATTTTTAAAAAAAAACAAACATGCACAGGTTGAAAATGTATCGACATACAACGCTTTAAAGCAATTGAGCCTTAAAGTTGGCTTTGCTTCTCAAACAATATTCCTTCACTTAAAAATGATATTTATAATTCCCTAAACTCTTCCTATTTGAGAAAGGAAAGGTCCAACTGTGCATAAAGCAAAGATGGAAATAAACTCAAGCATATGGAAAGCAGGAAGTCAGAATGGAAAAAAGCAGTGGCCAGGAAGCAGTGACCTGGGCTCTGGTCCCTGCTCTGCACTTATCAGCTTGGGATCTTGGGCAAATGACAATTTCCATAGACTTCGAGCTCATCACATATAAATCATAAGGAAAAACCCTGCCCGTCCATGTTATGAGAGGCAGCTGTGTAGTAGCGAAAATAGATCTAGACTTGGCAAAGTCAAGAATTTTGAATCCTGGCTCTCCCCGGTTTCCAAGGTGGACTTAGGGAAATCAGTAACCTCTCCGAGCCTCAGTTTCACCATCTGCAAAATAATAGTAATAATAATAATAATAATAATAATAATAATAATAATGGAGAAGAGGAGATGATGATGATCTAGCCTGAAAGTCCATGTAGAAATGCACCAAACCCTAGTACCTGACAAATGTGAGCTGAATGTGTCCTCTGAAAAGAGTAAGCATCATATAATGAAAGTATTTTATTATCAGCAATATTTGAACTCAGAGAGCCATACTCTCCCAAAGTTAGTATTATTTCTAGTTATATTAAAGGGTATTTCTTGACAGTAAGTCAGTCCTATTTTTATAACTAAAGTTCCTATCCTCCCTCCCACAGATCTCTTACTCTGTGCTGCTATGTAGGTGACTGGCATAGATGTCATTTTTACAGTTACTCAAGCCAGAATCTCCTCACACTCTCAATCCTTACATACGTTTGGTCATCAAGAATGGTCACCGTTTACTTTCCAACACCTCTTTAATCAGGCCCTTCTCTCTTTCTCACTGTCTACTCCTCACTCACTTGAACCAGTAGTTTTCAAACTCCACTGTGCTGCAGACTCACCCACAGAGCCTTCGAAAATATTCAGAGGCCCAGCCTCCACCCCAGAGATTCTGATTCAATAGGTAAGGCCTGGGGAGTGACAACTTGAAGCACATCCACTTGAGAATTTGAGAACTATCAACTTGAGCTACTTCTTGAGCCTCTTAACAGGGCTCAGTGCCACCCATCTCCCCATTCACAAGGTGGACACAAAGGTGGAAACCTTTGGCAAAGAAGCCACAGAGCAAGGTGCAAAGTCATCGCCACTCCGTGACCGAGTCCTGCCTATCTCTTCAGTCTCATCTCCCAATACTTGCATCTTAGACCCAAAACCTCAGCAATATTCACTACTGCTAGTTCTCTACTCCATACCTCCTCCCTCCAACTCCTCACAGAGATTCCTACTCTTTTTGAGCCCAATACAAACATATATCTACTATAAAATACTCCCTGACATACCCAGGAAGGGCAACCATCCTCTCCAGCATTCCGCATCATTGTACTTACCACACCGTCACTGCCCAGCCAGAGACCTTGACTGCTCCCACTCCGAATCCCAACACAAACTCTAGCCCTGAAACTCTGTAAGCACTAGTGTCTGGTGATGGCCTGCTTCCTGGTTCCTACATGGCATCTTCTGGCTTTGTCCTCAGGGACAAAGGGGCAGGGGAGCTCTGCACGCCTTCTTTATAAAGCACAACAAATCCCATTCAAGAGGGCTTCACCTTCGTGGCTGAACACTTTTCAAAGGCCTCACCTCCAAATACTATCACACTGGGTATTATATTCCAACATATGAATTTGGAGGGGACACATTAGGTCTCACAACATAGTGATCTAAAAAAATATCCAAATTGGATTTCATTTTTAAATAAAATCAGTTTTTTTAAAAGGACATTACTTTAACCATCTATAGCTATGATTTTTTTTAAATCTTTGGGTAGGCAAAGAAAAGACCAAAAAAAACTTTTAAATCAGACTTCATCAATATTTTTTAATTTTGCAAAGCCACCATTAATAGACAAGCCACAGACTGAGAGAAAAATATCATAATGCACAAGTCTGACAAAGGAGTTGAATCTAATATATATAAGGAATTCACGCAATTTAATAGTAAACAAGATAAATAATAAAAAGACAGTCCAGTTCTAAAACAACTTGAACAGATACTTCGTAAAAGAAGATATGTGAATGACAAATAAATGCATACATGAAAAAGTCTTCAACATCATAAGGCATCGGGGAAATGCAAATTAAAATCACAGCAGGGTATCACTACACAGCCACTAGCATGACCCAGATGAAAAAGTTTAACACCAAATGCTGGAGAGTAGTGGAACAAGTGGAACTCTCATATGCTAGTGGGAAGAATAAACAGTACTACCACTTCAGAAAACTGACAGTTTCTTAAAAAGTTAAACATTTGTCTATTCTATGACCCAGCAATTCCACTCCTGTGAATCTACCCAAGAGAAAGGCAAATGCATTGCTCGGTTTGTACACGAATGTTTGTAGCAACTTTACGCACATCCCAAGTGCCCATCAACATGAGGATGATAAACTGGTGAGTGCCTGATGCAAGCTGGGATGGTCACACTCTTTCTGCTTGACCTCTGTCTTGTGGTTAGGTTTAGTCAATGTGGGAGAGGAGTATTAAGAGATTGGAGGGCAGAATGAGAGAAAGCTTGGGGTATCTTCCCCTTCCCCTCGCTGCTCTGGCATTATGGTTTGGGCAGTGATGTATCCCTGAGGTGCCCATCAGGAAGGTTTTCTTAGGTTCAACTGCATATTCAAGCTCAAAGACAGAGGCCACACTTGGAGTCAGTCTATTCAGAAGGATTTAGGACAGGAACACAGCAAGGCAGTGTCAGGTACCCCACTTGGATGGGAGTTTTTGCTGCAATTCATGTCACCGCAGTACAGGCACAAGGGGCAAAGAAGCTACCCTGGTTTAAAAGCTTTGTATCTCACAGGAGCATTATCTCTTGAAATAACTCTATAGGTACAGCATCCAAGGTGCCAGCAAGGGCATGCTCAGCCACAGGAATCAGTACACTTAGGGAAGCTCAAAGTATGGCTTCCCCATCAGGTCTTTATAATTCTCCCAGTCCAGGGGTCATTTTTAGCATAAGTGAAGTTGCCTCCTAACACTGTTGACATTCCAACTTTCATCAATTGCCAGGGAAATAATTAGGAAATTAACAGCAGCTCATATTCTCATGCTGAAGGGGAAGGGTTGGTTAATCCTTTGCCCACACCTTCTATGATTACAATTTTGGATGGCCGATTCTTCGACGGTGGCTCTAGACCTCCCTAAGCTCCGACATACTTTTCCTTCCCCCACCCACTATTGCTAGTCCGTGGGTGTCCCAACACCCCTTACTGGCTCCGTTAAATCTCTAAATAGTTCCTTCATTTAATTATCTTCAAAATTCAAGCTGAGTATTTTTTATGTTTCTTACAAAGAACTATAACTGGAGTACTATGTTTGCTTATACGTATGTATGCATGTATGTATGTATATGTGTGTGTGTGTGTGTGTGTGTGTACTTGCAGAGGAAAAGACTAGAAGAAAATGTAACTTTATACTAAAAATCATGATTATTTTATCTTTTTTTCTTAGATGTTTTTGTATTTCCTGAGTTCCTTACAATAAGCATATATTCATTTCATAAGTAGAAAAAGTCATTTTTTATTTTTAAGAAAACAAATAAGGCTATTTTTGTTTTTCTCTAACAGTGTGACTCTCTGTATCCAAAAGGTATCGGCCTGAAGGTTAGGTTTTAGCCCCAGTTATACTGGTATGACCAGCTGTGTGCTTTTGAGCAACTTACTTTCTCTTTCTGGGTATCAATTTCTTCTGATAAAGTTTCTTCAAATTCATTTAGCTTATATGTCTGTAATCCTCCATAGTTAGACCTAAGAGCATGTAACATCTTTCCTCAGTCATGGTCTCTGTAGTGTAACCACATAGTTCCTATATTTCAAAGACAGCGTATGCTGCAAGCAGAGGCTAAGAGGAAGAAACAAAAGGCAGCCACCAATTCGGGCAAGAACTGCCCAGGGGCATATTAAAGAAGCTCTGTGATGCCAGGGGAGGTGCTATTGACACATCAGCGTGCCAACTAGTACTGTCTGTTTTCATGATCATCAGGAAATACGTTGACTTCCTATGGTAGAAATATTTGAGCAGACTCTGACCATCCATATCTGTTCTGTGTTTCTGAGTCATATAGGAATGCTTTTATTCAGCAACGTTCAGTTTGGTAAAAGCTCTCGTGATATGCACAGAATATCTAAGAAGCCACAAGAAGAGAACTATCCCTGAGGTCAATAGATACTTGATGATTTGACTAATTGATTGCCAAGGGATTCTAAGTTCATCCTTAGAAAAATATCTATGGTGTTGACTGAGCCAACAGGGGTCTTTGAAGCTCAGTAAACTTATTCCCAAAAGCCAAACACAGAGGAAATGACTCACATCTTCACATCTCCATAAGTTATCTGACATGCAAATAAGGCATGAGTTATGGGCCAGAAAAACACAAACCTTCCTAAATAAAGCCAGCTTCCCAGTGTTTTTAAACTAATGCTATGCTTTGCCACAGGCTACCGCAATTTCCTGTCATCAGATGGATCATTTGCCTGGCAGTGCAAAAAGTAGGGGGAAAATCTTTCAGCCAGATTGTTTTTATCATCTTGGAATATTGCCACAAAATGAAAGAAACGTTCACTACACAGGAGGCTTAACAACAACAACAAATATATATATATGTATATAAACTTCAAAGTAATCTATAAAACATAGGTGGCAAGAATCCCCCAGATTTAATTGGGAATGTTTGACAGGTTAACATTAGAGGCAAGAACCTCTGAAGTAACTTGCTGATTCATCAGTCCAAATTTCCATGCTCTTAAGAGTGGCACACTTCTATAATTTTTGAAAATGAACAGATGGTCAATAAGATTTCTGTGCTTGTGACTAGCATACATAAAAAATTCCCAGATTCCTGCCCTCAACCAGTGCATTAAGTAATTTGAAGTCCACTGGACTACATGGCCATTGTTGGAACTCTGCAAATCCCTGGATTCAACAATAAAACACCTTTCAGGATTACATGTCAAACGATGGTTTATGCTTCCTTAGTTTTAGCTACTGTTGAAACAGGAAGAGGCAAAAAACAGTTAGTTGTTGCTATCAGCAATAGTATGCTCTTGGCAAGAAGAGGTAAACACAACTATAACTTTCCTCAATCAAATGTTTGTTGATATTTTGTTGGTCTTACCAAATTGTGTACAACTGAGTCAATATTTTAAGAACAAGAAAATAAATCAAATTAAGCAGGATCTTTATATTCAATTAATCTACTTGGTTTAAAAACAAAGAAATACCTCTTGTCAATGAGATCCATTTCTGAAGACCCTCTTCCAACCAGGGAAAAAAATCTTACCATGAACTGGAATTCTAGATTTAGGGGACTGATTGCATGAAAGATAAATAAATTACACTTCTTTACACGAGCCAAACTGAATAAATCTATTATTGAATCCAGTTGCTGAGGATTTAAGAAACTGAATGCTTACATAATTCCTATATCTTAGATATTTCTGGAGAAAACTAGAATCTAATACAGCTACAAATAAGAAATGCAGTAGAAAATTATGGAACCTCACTCAATTTTATGGTGGGATTTACAATAGCGGGAAGAACTAACTGATTTGTTGGAGAGTTAGGAGATGAATACAGAAAGGCATGCACAGTTAAACCACAGATCTTAAAAAAGCTCCTTCAATTAGTTCTCTTTTGCTATGATGAAATGAAAATAAAAAGCAGATGTAAAAACTGCAGCCACATGATATCATTCACATCACAGCAAGAGCAGTAATATGCCAGTCGTCCTCCTGAATGTGACCACATGCTTTGTTCTACACTAAGGAAATCAGATACGTAAAAGCCAAATGCTGCTTTTAAAATATTGCCATAAAGTTAAGAGCCAGGCCAGGGCATCTAGATGAGAACATTGTAATCAGCAAGCTCATAAGAAAAAGGTTTCCTCTCTGCCCCTTTCACAACAACAAACACTTTCTTAATCTGTGAGTCACACTCCTGGCATCTCTCAAATTATTATGACTCAGGTACTTTGTCATCCTAGGTTTAGGTGCCTACCAACTTGGCACCTTATAGCTGCATAGTCAGGTTAATCAGAAAGTCTGCATGTTTCAACTTGTTTGGGAAACCGTTTTTTAAAACAAAATTTTTAAACTTTCCAAAGGAATCTTTTAAATATCATGCCTTCATCAAAAAACCTTTTCTTTCTCAGTTCCCGTATTATGCTTTTTGTTTCATTATATGATCACTCCACAATCTGTTCTGTGTTTACATCCGATCCTCCAGTAACAAATCTGCTTTAAGGTCAGAGATGAAGCCACATACTAATCTGAATGCGTACCATCAACCACCACAGCATCTCCTATGAAATAAGCCGGCATTCAAAGATGTGTTGATGGCCTATGCAGGGGCTGGACAAGCAACAATAAATGCGTGCAGTAGGCCTCTGGGCCTGCAATACAATACGGAGCGGTGGGTGCTGGAACAGCTAGAGAGTTGTGCTCCATATAAAGCAGCAGTTGCTGCAGCGCTCAGTCCTGTAGTGGGCGGAGCGAGGATTCAGGCCTACTGTTGCCAGGTTTTCTAAGAGAAACTAAAAAGTTGGATTTTTATATGAGGTCACCCAATTTTTAAATGTTGGCTGGGAAAAAAGATTGCAAACCCTATGTGGGCTGAAGGAAACCCATCTGTGAGCCAGATTTGCCCTACAGGCGACCAGTTCTCAACCCCCTACTGTATAATGGCAGCCTTCTCCTGAGCCTCTGACCCCTTCTCCCTCATTCATAAGTTCCCCTTACTCCTCCTCTCTCTCACAGAAACAGACTTTCTTAATATTCCTTCTAGATGTGCTTTCTCTCTCCCCTCTGAACCACCACAGTACTTTGCTTATAGCTTCTATTGTGCTAACCTAGGTTGTCTTATACCTCAGTGATCTGTATAATCTGTGCTTCCCATAAGGAAATAAATTCCTTAAGTTGCTTATTATGACTAAAATAATATCATTGGTTGAATTCTGTGTCAGACACTGCTAAGCACTTCACATACATTTTTTTCTTTTAATATATCTTTGTTGATTTCAGAAAGAGGAAGGGAGAGGGAGAGGTAGAAACATCAATGAGTCATTCATTGATCGGCTGCCTCCTGCACGCCCCTTGCTGGGGACTGAGCCCAAAACCCAGGCATGTGCCCTGACCTGGAATTGAACCTCTAGCTCCTGGATCATGGTCGATGCTCAACCACTGAGCCACTTTACATATATTAACTCATCTACCCTTTTAAAAAATAGTAGTATTATTACTATTTTATAGATGAGATAACTGGAATTAGAAGTGTTTCTAATTAATTCCCAAGTCCTCAGAACTAGTAAGTGAAAGAGCCAGAAACTGAAGTGAGGCTTTTAACTCCACAGTTCTATATTTGCCTGACTTATCTTTAAGTGCCCTATAATTCCTTGCACACAGCAAGTATTTGATTAATATTTGTTGAATCAATTGCTGAAAACAGAAGTTTATATTTCACTTAAAAGACATTCTTTCTTAAGAAGCATGGAGAAAAATTACTAATCAGTTAATGGTTTGCAGAAGGGTTGAAAAATAAAAATATCGTGAACATTCACTATGAATATTTGTGGTTCAGCAACAGATTGGAGCCCATTCATCAACTGAATAGATACTCCGGGTTTATCCAAGATATTTTCAGAGTATTTATTCAAAAAGAATTCCAATCCAAAAATAATATCCGTAAAATAATGTGCCAAGTTAGCAGCTCTGGCTTGAAAATTCAATGTGCAATGCTGGTTTTAGTTAGAAATGAGGAAATGCCAAGAGGAAATTGAACAAAAGCTCAAAAAACACTCTTTATTTTGCATGCAAGAAGCATTCATCATTTCTTTTCAACAACTAGGATGTTATATTTGTTTCTCCATCCAACAGGAGTCCCAAAATGCAGTTTTCTCTCTTCCCTCTAATTAATGTTTCACATAAAAATATATAATCTCAGTATGGAACAACTAAGTAATATATTGGTTTCCCTTTTATTATTTTTAAATATTTTATCAGAACCATAAATGTGAATTCTGAAAATGTGATTTAGATGATGATGACAGAGTCTGACCATAGTCATGCTTTATGTAAAGTCCTAATGGCTAAACAAATCTACAAATCTCCAAATTCTCAGTTTCTCTTTCAAGAATAACATCTGACGCCATGAAAAGGACATTTTCTATCCTTAGGACCATTATTCAGCTTTGAGATTTCAGCTACCCCTGAACTCTAAAAACAGTAACAAATTTTTAAAAAATCAGCTGTAACACAAAAAGAACAAAGAATATCCCTGAACAATTTTATTCCCTTCTCTTTCTCTTGGCCTCCTCCTTTGGAGAAATGGCACCCAGTAACATAAATAAACTAGCAACGCAATTAGTGTCAATGTCCAGGGGTGCATTTGGGTGGGGACAGGGATTCCAATTCTCTGTTTTCCAAGAACTCTGATCGCAATCCAGAAATCGGTGGTTTCCACCGCCACCACTATTGCTGTGTAAAGGGCTCAGAAGCAGCATGTCTGGCCTTACACACATAACCTAAGGAAGCTGAGCTGGCTCCACGAAGGTTTGCCAGTGACCAAACTTTTTTGGAACATTTTAACACTGCTCTTTCCCCTGAGGTAGTTTCAACTTGCCCAAAGCTAAATCCCTAACCTTCAATTGATAGCTTGGAGAAAAGGTTCACCATAAAGCAGAATTACTACCTACAGGCTACTGATACTTAAATCTTTTTAAAAAACAAGAAAATCACATGCATCTAAGATCGTACACAAAATGATTTGGTGAGGTGTCCACAAAACTGGTAGAGGGTCAGTAAAAATAACAAGAGACCAGCCATTTTCTCTTCAGGTGAAACTACTGCCCAGCCCCGAACTAGATGCCATGAAGTGCTGGAATACAGCGGGAAGAAAAAGAATTTTACTTTTCCAAAGTTGCTGCTCTTCTGTTTTTCTACATCTTCTACGAGCTTTGTAAAAGAATATTTTAGGGAACTCTAGAGAGAGGAAACACTCATGTCAAAACCCTCATAGGAGAGCAGTCATCAACCTGGCGAGCTTCGCTGCTTGGTGTTAAAAGAATGTGTCAGAGTAAGGGACAGGCGGCTGCCGGCGCTCAGACCCACAGCTAGAGGAACGTACAGAAACACGGCTCTCAGGGGACCGAGTGCTAGAGCGATTTTCTTCCCTCTCCTCTCTCGTGATCATGATCAAGAATTAGCTTAGCCTGGCCGGGCGTGGCTCAGCGGTTGAGCATCAACTTAGGATCGAGGAGATCAAGGTTCGATTCCCGGTCAGGGCACATGCCGGGGCTGCGGGCTCGATCCCCAATGACTGTCTCATCATTGATGTTTCTGTTTGTCTGTCTCGCCCTCTCCTTTCCTCTCTCTGAAATCAATAAAGTTTTTTTTTAAAAGATATATTTAAAAAAATAAAGATTTATTTTTTAAAAATTAGCTTAAATCATAAAGAAATAATAATATTAAAATAAAATTTCCTCAGTGACTCTATCCCAGCAAATTATCAACTGAAATAAAGCTGAATAGCGAGAAGTCACCAAAGGAAAATACACACAGTTGTAGAAATTACTGTCGCTGCGGTTGTAGTCATGGAATGAAAAGCAATTGCGAAGAAATCTCTTTAGTTAACAAGCAGACTGCCAAATGTGAACTCGCTGAGGCACACATAAACCTGAACCGTCCATGCACTCGAGTTTAATGTACCTGGTCAGTCTGATGTTCAAGACTTGGAGAAAAGCTGGACATTGTTGGGGAGGCAGCAGAGAGTTCTTGGAGTTTTGTGTCAATTTCGGCAAGCTGCTGATGCTGAGTGACTGCAAGTGTGTAGCCTTCCCCTGGAACCAGCCAGCCAGACTGATCGCCCTAGGAGGAAACAACAGTCACCAAATCATTCCCATGCCACATTTTTTCCAAAATATAATATAACTTTCAGACTGTTGACTTCGATCCTCAGGAGTTCACAAAAAAACAAATTTCAAACAGAAAACAAAAACAAAATAAAACAAAAGCACAGAATGAGCATTGGCACAGTGAAAGAAAAAAATTAAATAGTTTATGGTTTCATTATCTGCCAACTCTGTGCAAAGTATCTTCATAAATTGCACTTTGAGGGTTTTTGCCCTGTGGAATAAATCTCAGCCTCACAGTCTGGTTCTCATTGCATTCTCATGTCTCCACTTTGAAAAAGTGGTTGTGATATGTTGAACAGGGAGGAATCATTTTTACCCTAAAATGGCATGGTATTTTCAAAATTTGTCCTTGAAAAGTAACATAGGATCTATAAACTCAGTTGTTTGGATTTTATGAGCTTAATTGGTCATCTAACTCATTTAACTAACATTATAGTTTCGTAAATAGGTTAAGACCATTCATAATATTCACTCCGAAATCTCATACTGAGGGCCTACTCTGTGTGGCCTTACACTGGTGATTCAATATGAATCTCACAGGTTTCTGCCCTCAAGGAGTTCTCAGTCTCTTGGCAGCAAAGATTTTAACAAGCTGGTAAGCCCAGGGCTCCATGAGAATGGAGGGGGGGTTAACGACCCTCTGTTAGTTGGACAGGAAGGGACAAAGTGGGTGGAGAAGGCTTCCTGGCAGGAATAATCAAGCTTAACCACATCTTAATAAAAGAAACAACATGCACTTTAAAACTGGTGTGGGCGAAGGCAAGACTAGAGGCAGAAAACTCAGTCAGGAAGCAGAGGCCATAATCTAGAACTGAAGTGATGAGCACCTGAGCTAAGGAGTGTCCTGGGAGTGCAGAACATGAGGGCAGTTCCAGAGAAACGCAGGAAACACAATTTATAGAATCTGGAGATAATCTGATGGAAGAGTAAAGGGGGGAGGAAGGGTCAAGAATGAAAACTAAATTCCTGGTTTTATCAACTAGTGGGGTGGGGGTCATATTGACCAAACTAGGGAATACAGACGCAGTAGGTTTGAGAAGGAAAATTATTCTGTTTGGGACCTACTGACATCTGCACCAGGTATCCCTAACACAGGTTATGTTAGGTAGTTAAATATATGTCTGAAGTTCAAGAGAGAGAGACCTGGGCTGGAAATGAGCATTTTAGACTCACCCATATGTCTATAGTGGCTTGAGGCCCCGGACCGTGGGAATGGGTGAGGTCACACAGGGAAGCGTGTAGTATGGGGACGGAAGAATCATGAAGAACACTTTTAGAATAAAGGAGTAGGTGGAGGGCAAGGAAGCTTAGAATTTCAAACACTTTGGTTTTGTGACTTTTATACCAGGAATCAATCCCTAGGTGGTAACCAGAAGAAATACGTGTGAAAAACTATACAAAAGGACTTATATGTGTGTGTCCCTGGCCCCGGCATCCAATCTGCCTTCCTGCTCAGTGAAACCAAACACTGCATGAGTCTTGGTAGGAGACAGGTCCCCAGCAGACACTCCCTCTCCCTACCCACTGGCACCAAGAAGACAAGCAAATGGCCTGGATTCAGCCAATCACAAGCGAACACCATGGACCTTGACTTCTGAGGGAAAAAGAGAGATGCAGAGATGCAGGGAAAGCGGGAGGTGGTTAAAGGTGACAGCAGGGCAGTGAGTCCAGTGTTGGCAGCCACGAAGGTGGCAGCAGTGATGCCCAGCGGGAGTACCCAGCGCCTACGGTACAGCTCCTAAGCAGCCTGCTTCTGAGGAGTCTCTGTGGCCTTGTTTCTGGCCACTTTGATATCGGCATGGTTTACAAACCTGGTTCTCCAAACTTCCCATTAAGTCTGTGAAGTACCCAAGTCTCCCAATAAATTCATTTTCTGTTTTTGTTTTTTTAACTAAAAGACTTGAAAATTTTATTTTCACATTTCACAATACAAATGAAAATTGCTTCTTTTTTTTTGTCCCACTACTCCCCTCCAAAACTATTCTCTCTTAGAAAGAGGGAGTGAGTTTTCCTTGTGCTGTTAGAAAACACCCAGAGTCACAGCACCATGAGCTCCTAGAGAAGTAAAACAATAATATAAAACTGACAGGAAGAGGCTCCCCTCTCTCCTTATCTGTCTGGTCAAGTCATTCCAGGCCAAGTGGGCACCATCATGGGACGGGCGGGAGGTCTCATCACTGGGGGCCCAGGCATCATGGGCAGGTGCCCTCCCATAGGCGGCCTCATTCCAGGAGCAGGTCTCACTGGCATCATCCCAGGAGGAGGAGGGCTCATCCTTGGCATCATGGGAGGGCCCCCCATATGGGGTGCTGGCATCATACCAGGGCGAGATGGACCTGGAAGACTGGGGGGAGAGGGAATCATTGCCCCTGCAGGCGGAGGAGCAGAGAATGGAGTAGGAGGTACCTGTCCTTGCTGAAAGGCTGCCATTGTTTTGTCAATCAGGCCCTGAGTGTGCTCCTCCTTGCTTTTCTGATAGTAGTCTTTCACATTGTCTTTGTGTTTCCCACCATTGCAGTGTGTCTTTCTCACAGATGGAGAGTCATGGATGAGGTATGTATTGTAGTAGTCGCAATAAAACTTAGGCATGTTGCTCTGCAGGCCATTGATCACTCCCCAGTTTCTGTTTTTTTAACCAAAGTCCACCTCTGTTTCTTGCAACCCAGAACACTGACTAATATATTTTTTTGCCAAATTATTTATAATAAAGAATATAGGCAAAAAGCCTAAGTGTCTAAAAGTAATCAAAGAGTGAGTAGATTGTAGCATTATCCATACAAGGATATGACATAGTAATAAATACTTTAAATACACTTGTAATTTGGCATATGAAAGTCACACATAGTTATTTTTAAAATAATATCACCTAGTTACTCACAAATAAGAAACTCTGGTTAATTTTTCCTAAATAAAAGTGATATAAATGACTTAAATGAGAAATAATAAAGAATCACACAAAATGTAAAATTATGAAACCACAATGACTAAATATTGGTTAATAAATTTTAAATTCTTGTCTGAATGGAATTCTTTTTTAATGACACTGGAGGTAAAAGAACATGTCAGGTTAAATTCAATAGAAATTTAAATGCATCATTCACTATGCAGTTACAGAAGGAAGTTATATGTAACGTGTAGTAGATGTTATCATGTTTTTCTGTCTGTCTAGCACCTTCTAGACACCCTTGCTGTGTAGGGGAAATCTGTAGCTTTTAGGAGCTTGCCTCCCTAAGACAGAGCCCAGAAAATGCTTTTCACCACCCTCCCTTACAGCCAGGGCCCAGGTAGTCACCAAGGGTCCACAACCAGACTCACCCATTCGGTACTGATTTAGATGTCATTCAAGATCTGATCTCTCTATCTATGAGTCTGTCTCTACTGTATTTTGCTTGTTAGTTCATTTTGTTCATTACAAATAATTTCTCTTGAATTATTATGGCTTATTGTTTTTTTGAAAATTCCCCTTAAGAAATGATGGTGTGTAGATAATTCTTACTGTTACTTTAGCTTTCGTTTATAAGATAAACAAATCACCCCATGGATCCTAAAGCTAAAATATCTCGGGATTATGTGGGCATTCAGCAATCTGTCTTACCCATTCCAGGCCCCTGCTTCACAAAACACACTGGATGCTAGGAGGGGTGGCTGTCCTCTGGGTTGTCAGGGGAACTCCCTGGGCAATCTCGCCAGCCCCAAATGTAGCAACACCTTACTCCATTCCTAGGCACAGCCCCTGCTGAGCCTTCACCATTTTGGAAAAGATTATTTAGAGCTTAGAGTCTGTGTTGTTCTGTAGATTTGCTTTTGGTTTGGAGCAGAGATTGTGTTTGCCCACGTGAAATTTTTTTAATTGAAATTAATTGTCATCATTTAAAAAAGGAATGTTTCCCATTTTAAAAAATCTGATTTTCTAGCCTCTTTTGACAAATTGGAGGACCCAGGCAGCCCTGGCTGGAATTTCTACACAGCAGCGGCCAGTTGATGCTGAGTGCGGGCTCCCAGGGACTGGCAAGCCCTCCCCCATGGGCCACAGGCACTGCTTGCACATGCACTGCGTTAGTACCTAGAACAAAATTACCCTCTGAACCCACGTGTCTTCAGCTGGGTTCCCTAGATTCAGAACCTGTGACAGGGACTCTTGTTCAAGTGACTTATGGTGAGGGTGGGAGGGGGCGCGGAGCTAGAGAAGCAGGCTAGGCCTAGGCCAAGGCCGAGGAAACACCACCAAGCAAGGATGTGGTCTCAGCTGAAGATCAGCTGACCCCTGGGGAAGCTCTGGAAGACAAACAGCATCACACATCTAATCTCACCTTGAGTGGGAGGGCGGGGTTAGGGAGGGGGGCTTTTCTCCCATTTAGCCCAGGACAATCCCCCAGGGAACGGGGCAGCTGTGCACCCTTGGAGCAGAGCAGGGGGTGGGTGCACAGACAGGTGCCAGGTAAAAGGGATCTGAGCAGGGTGTCCGGCAGCATCCACTACATCATGTCTCCATTAAACGTAGGGGAATAAAAACTAGATAATAGGGCTAAGAGCATTGGGGAACACAGAAGAAGATATTTCTTTGGAGAAGTAAAGAATATTGCTCTAAGTTTAGTATGCAAACAAGTGTAAATGCTGAGCCACTGCACCCCCCTTCTGACCTGCCAGGGTGGTATAAATACTGGCATTCGCACCCTGGATTACGTGCTGTTCTTAGGCTGTCTGCCTGTGCTCCCGCCAGACTCGTCAGGGAACTGAATGCTGGGCAGGCACAGGACAGGGTCCCTTAGGATTACGGGAGACTACACGGAAATATCACGGCGCCAGTTCAGGGGTAATAAGAAATGCCCACAGGAAAGGGATGCAGGGAAACTACTATATGTCAGCAGCACTAAGCCCATGACATGTCAGGCAGCGGTTTTACTGGGATAGCCAGTGTGCAGTAACTCTTGTAATGACACAAAATAATCCTTTGGAAGTCAATAATGAATTGACTAAGAATAAATTTGAAAAGTTCAACAAAAAGAAATGTGTGAAACAGGATTTTCTAAAGTGAGAGAACATTATTTCATAATTTAAAAAACTATTGTGAATTTATACGAATAGGTCAATAACATGATAAAAATAAATATTAAGAAGTGTAGAGTGGCCCTGGCTGGGTAGCTCAGTTGGTTAGAGTGTCATCCTGATATACCAAGGTTGCAGGTTCGATCTCTGGTCAGGGCACATACAAGAAACAACCAATGAATGCATTAATAAGTGGAATGACAAAGCAATGTTTCTCTCTCTCTGTCTCTCTAAAATCAATAAATAAATTTTAAAACACACACACACACAAAAAGAAGCATAGAGGTCACTGACTATCAGAGTTTACATACCTCGGAACTGGACAACCCAGAATCTCTGTCATCTAAGTCCTTCAAAAGTTCCATCAGCCTCTTCTTCTCTCTGTCAACCAGAACCTCTAGTTTTCCTGAATTCTTGGCCAACTACAGAATGTATTAATAAAAAATATTAAAAACTCAAAGCAATTCATAGTTCAGGAAAATAAAAATGAAACGTGAGGTTACTACAGTACAGATATACAAAGGTAAAATTGGTAAGATTAGCCATTTTTCATTTGCTAGGTAATTTTATTTTATGTCAAGTTTTTGGTACAGGTCATTCTCCAAGCAAAGACATTTACACTATAAACAGGCCCTCCTGTTAACCATTTTAACAAACATTTTATTTAAAAAATAATATAGCCTGGCCGGGCGTGGCTCAGTGGTTAAGCATTGACCTAGGATCCAGGCGATCAGGGTTCGATTCCCGGTCAGGGCACATGCCCGGGTTGTGGGCTGCAGCCGATCAATGACTCTCTCATCATTGATGTTTCTATCTCTCTCCCTTCCTCTCTCTGAAATCAATAAAGATATATTTAAAAAATAAAAATAAATAAATAATAATAATAATATAAAACATAAGCCATTTTCAAGCCTCTCTTTATATTATATCAATGCAAAGAATCTTCTTGCTATTTCCTATGTGACATATATCCACTAAGTGAAACTGCTTTTAAATGTCAAGAAAATCCTATCAGGAGTTTAAGTAAAGATTCAGTTACTGTTGTTAAAAGGGAAATCTATGGTGGAGCTGCTGTGTCAGCAAGAACTTAGATACGGGAAAAACACTATTGTTCTTGGAAAATTAAACAATAAATCAACATACAATGGGCCAGCACAAATTCACAGGTCAAGTTGGAAAAGGTTTCCTTCAGGTCACAGGAACGTGGAGCAAAGAAAACCTGAGGGTTCCAGAGTCCAGTCTGGCAGGGGCAGGGTGACCCATGAGCACTGGGTCAGACAGCTGCATGGAAATGACATAACCACTGTGGGGAAAAGGTCAGGCTTCCACTGTGAAAAATCACTTAACTCTCTGCTCTCGTTACTACTTCACGCTCACCAATGCAGTTTTCTAGTGACCTAACTGCCTCCGTGGTTTGTCATGAGCCTTCTGTCCACTACATGTACATTTCTTGCTGTAAATTAATGAATTAGCATTCTAGCCTATTACAAGAGCCTCTGTGCCCTTGGTTAGTCTGAGTCTGCTTTGAGAACAAACCAAGTCAGGCTGCAGACCTGTAAGACCAAGGTCAGGCCTTAGAAGCAGGGAGCTAATCAAGGCAAGTGACAAGGGACGGGCTGTCAGGAGGCTCAGCTGGGTGGGGCCAGGTAGGGATGGGAGGAGCAACCAGTGGGCCTCTCCAGCTGTGCTGGGAGCATTTTCCATTCAAATTTCTAATTGTACCAGCTATAAAATCAGTCTCATTACTTTAAAAAAACCAATGTTACTAATATGCAATTTAAAATCTGGGAAACATGTTCCAAAGCTCTCATCTAAATAAGTGTTTTTCAAATTGCAGGAACAAAATTCATCTCTGAGCAATGAAATAAGTGTATTGAGTTGCAGTAGCATTTTTAAAGGGGGTAGGATAGAATAAGATAAAATTGAATAGAAAATAGTGAAGTACTGGTTCATAAAACTTTTCTTTCAGTCATATACGCTGTTTAAATTACATATACATGGATCACGGTCAAAAAATATTTAAGGACACTAAACACAACTATTATCACAAGTCATTTAGTTCACATTCTGGCTTCTAAATTTCTAAATACATACCTCAATATTTCGCTTAATAAAATCCTGGCTGTGTTTACCCCTGAGCTCAATCTTTTCTGTATTTGAGAAAGGTCTCTTTTCTGCTTTGATCAGTGACTCATTTCTTTCCACATCACAGGTAAAATCTAATATTTTAAAAGTTCAAAATTTTTTCATAATTATAATTGTCCATTATTCTAAAATTTTACCTTAATCATATATAAAATATATAAGAAGTAAAACACATATAAAAGAACTATTAAGCCCCAGATTAAAAATCCTAATATAGAGAGTTTTATTCTTAAAAAGATAAATGTGCTCCATAACTTGCAAGTTCTTATAAAACTTCTGTCATTCATTATCATGTGGCAAACTGCTTGCTGTTGATTCCTTTGGAATCATGGGGAATATGAAAAGAACTGCAAGTAATACATGTGAAGGAGAAATCTCTGATGTTATGGGAATTTTTAAATATATTTTACTTTAGTCTTTATGTGAAATAGAACTTTCCTTAAAGATTAGATTCTTTATTAATTTTGCCATCACCCTCTCTGAACAATAAACTTTTTGTTCAAACCTGTCTTTTAAGCAAGGTCTGCATAAGTGTCCTGGATGGTCTACAGCCCATCTGCACAAACCCCTAGAGCCCATCCTAGTTTGTCAGTTTTCTCAACCTTTGAATGGAGGCTTAAGTCAACCTCTGAGTTGTTCAGACCCTGAGTGCTCAAAACAAGGGCAATAAAAATACCTGTGTTGCCCAGCCGGGCGTGGCTCAGCGGTTGAGCATCAACCTAGGATCCAGGAGATCAGGGTTTGATCCCCGGTCAGGGCACATGCCCGGGTTGTGGGCTCCATCAATGACTCTCTCATCATTGATGTTTCTGTCTCTCTCTCTCCCTCTCCTTTCCTCTCTCTGAAATCAATAAAGATATATTT